TATTGAATTATATCATTTAATTTTCACAGCCACCCAATGATAGCTACTATCACCTTCATTTCACAGAAACAGGTATAGATTTTGAAACTATCATATCATTATTGGCTGACAGATTCAGGATCTGACTTCCAAGTTCTTAACTACAATAATATTTTTTCTCTTTTCATTCCATTTAGGCCTCTGTTTCACAGTTTCTGCAGTAGATCATGCTTGATTCTGAATCCAGGTTATTAATCATGATTTTGCCCTGTCTGGAATACCTTTTAAACCCTACACCATTCATTCTAATTTTACTGGACCCTGCTAAAATCCAGTTTTTTTCAAAACCTTCCCAATAACCATTACCTTTCTTAAGTTTCCCATAGTAACTTTTACTATAGCAGTTACCAGAGAGTCATTTATGTCTGCAGAATAACTTACTCTATGTGTATATTATATTCCTAGTGAGAGTATATGCTCCAGAAGGTCAGAGATTCAACGTTTTCTTCTGAGCAGATTGGAAAATGTTACATTCATAGTAGGTCCTTAGTAAGTTATTGTTCAACACGGAGTCAACTTATAGTCATACTAGAGGCCCATGCACAAAATTCGAACACTGGGCGGCGGGTGGGAGGGTGGGGGGCGGTCTCCTCAGCCTGACCTGTGCCCTCTTGCAGCCTGGGACCCTTCAGGGGATATCTGCCTGCAGGCCTAAGCCAGCAGTCAGAAATCCCTCTTGCAGTCCGGGACCCCTCGCTCCTTACTGCCTGCCTGCTTGCTGCTCTTTACCGCTCAGCTCACTGCTCCTTATCACTGTGGTGGAGGCGGGAGAGGCTCCCACCACCGCCACTGTGCTTGCTAGCTGTGAGCCCAACTTCTGGCTGAGCAGCGCTCTCCCGGTGGGAGTGCACTGACCACTAGGGGGCAGCTCCTGCGTTCACCATCTGTCCCCTAGTGGTCAGTGCGCATCATAGCGACTGGTTGTTCCACTGGTCATTCGATTTGCATATTAAGGTTTATTATAAAGGATGTTTTAAAGTATTTTTCATATATAAGGATTTTAGAGCCAGAGATAAAGATTAGTACAACCCCTTTAATGATGAAAAGATAAGGCTTGCAATTAGACAAATTATTTAATGGTAAAATAATATAGCAGTTAATTGACAACCAAATGTTTCCTGATTCCTAACTATATCATAATTAAAATAGGGAGTTATATTGAAAAGCTACCTTTTCTCTAACTAGTAGGTTTTTCTTGTTTTAATCCTCAGCAGAGGACTTTTATTGATTTTAGAGAGGGAGGAAAAGAGAGAGAAACATCAGTGTAAGATCGATTGGCTGTTTCCTGTACTCACTCTGATCAGGGATTGAACCCAAAACCTAGGTATGTGGCCTGACCGGGAATCAAACCTGGTATATGGGACCACACTCCAACCAACTAAGCCATCCGGCCAGAGCTAACTAGTTTTGATACATTAAAGTTCAGATGAAGTTGTTCTATATTGTTTTTATAAAACTGGATGTGGATTAAGCATGGTTCAGAAAAAAAAATATACATCGCATTCCCATAAAACTATTCAGGCATTTGTCTTTTTGTTTGTAGATGCAATAGGAAGGATCAAAGTAAGGGTTTGACTTTTTTTTTTTTAAGAAAGGTTGAGTCCCTTTGTGATTTGGTAATTTCCATCAGTTAATTGTGAAATATTTTCACTTAGTAATTTTACATCTGATGCCCACAAATTTATCTTGCTGACATCTAAATTCATCATTACCTACCACATATCTAAATGTACTGCCAGTTCTGTTTTAATGTTCAAGAACCCTCCGGAGCAGTGGTTCTCAACCTTCCTAATGCCGCGACCCTTTAATACAGTTCCTCATGTTGTGGTGACCCCCCACCATAAAATTATTTTTGTCGCTACTTCATAACTGTAATTTTGCTACTGTTATGAATCGTAATGTAAATATCTGATATGCAGGATGTGTTTTCATTGTTCGCGACCCACAGGTTGAGAACCACTGCGGAGGAAATATTTTTCAAAAGAAGAGCAATGTCTAATAATTTTTACAGTATTACAAAAGAACCTATGTTTTGGAAAGGAACCTATTTTGAAAATAACTTCTGCTTCAGAGGATGTTTACAAATCTGGTAACAAATTTCAGGTGTGCCTGGGAAGATCCAATAAAGTTTAATAGGTACCCAAGCACATTCAGCCATGTTTTTTGTCAGTGTAATCACAATTTACAGAGCAAGAGCAAGGAGACAATGAGTGAGGAATCCTGGGACTTAAAAATGTTTGAAAGGAGTACAGTGAGTATTAAGAAAGATTTTTTTGAATTTTCATATTCAATATATTCTTTTGTACAGCATACTATTTATTTAACCAATATTTATTATGTGCCAGTTACTTAGTATAGGTACTGGGGATACATCAATGACCAAAATAAAATAGTTTTAAGCAGAGTCATTATCTAACAAGTTCTTAAAAGGATTACTGCTGTGTGGAATATAAACTGAGTGGAAGAGCGAAAAGGAGGGAAACCAGTTTAAAAAGGCTTTTACGGGAATGCAAGCAAGAGATGATGGATTGGCTTGGAGTGGCAACATGAGAAGTGGTCAGACTCAGATTATATTTTGAAGGTGCAGCCAATACCTTGGGGCTTGAAGGAAATTTCAGAGGAGAGCACTTGGAAATAAATGGAAAGAAGAATTCCATTTTTGGTTGTAATTTTGCGATGCCCGTTAGACATCTAAGTGGAGATGTCTGGAGTTAAAGGGAAAGGTCAGGGTAGAGAGCACGCAAATGGTGTTTTGTGGCACCAGATGGAATCCCAAAAGGGATTAATGTTTTTTAAAAAGCTGGTATTCTCAAATTTAGAGATTTCGAGGATGAGGAAACTAGAAGTAGCAGCTGCTGAAATAAAAGGACAGAAATTGTATATGGAAGGCTCATTAAGACAATATTTCAAACTGTAGTATACATGTTATAGTGTATTTATGGCTTATTTCCAAATAAAAAATGGGAAATATACATTGAGGGAGTGATCAAGTATGTTAAATGTTATTCATAGATGGTAGATGAAAATTGAGGTTGGTGATCCTAACAAGAGCAGTAAAAGCCTGCCCCAAATGAAAAAAAAAAAAAATTAGAAGAGGAAGGAAAGACAAGTATAAAGAAATCTGTTTTAAGAGAAATGGGATGGTAACTGAAATCAAAGGAGGTTTATTTGTTTAATTTGGGAATGTGAGTGAATGATCCAGTAAAGAGGGGAAAATTATACTGTACTAAGTGACATGCAAATAAGGATCAGCATCTATTTTCTGTGAATCTTTAGTTCTTTTGGGACAGAGCCATAAGTGTCCTAGATCTATCACTCAATATGTATCAGTTTTCTGTTGGTTAGCAGTTTACCCTCTTTAAGCAATCATAGGAGATTGGTAAGAAATTTACATAATCTCTTCTGAGAAGTTTACAATCTAGTTTGCTAAGTGAAGAAATCATAAGAAAGCACATACAAGTTTACAAATTATAGACAATCCACTTTTAAACATCTGTATGCTCCAGCTATTGGCACCTGTAACTGTCCTCCAAGATTTGTTTACACTATGTAATGCAGAGGGGGGAAGAAACCCGTCCTTTCAGTCCTAATCCAGGGAAGAGATTACTTGGATTATTTATAAATCTTAGCGGAGAGAACTTGAACTGGGGACAGGTAAGTTGGTGGGTCTAACACTAAAGATCAGAATAATTTTAGTAATACTGTTTGTCTACACATTGCACCTATGCTGAACACATATGTCACCAGCTTCCTATTTGTATTGACAATGGGTTAATTAGAACTGAGTTTGTAAAAAGGTGAACAGTCTTTATTGCACCATAGGGTAGATAGTTTTACATTTGCTAGTGCACACACTTGGGAGTAGGCACAAAGAAAGACGCTTGCAATGTAGCGTTATATAAGCAAGATCGATGCAGGACACACTGACAACTTACCTGTTCAATAATTTCTTTGGCTAACAAACTCCAGTTATGGAAAGTGCCCTGTTGGACCTAAGACAGCAACTTGAGTTCAGATTTGCCATCCCATTCCTTGTCCCCCATTTAAAAATTCCCCCTCTTGCCCTAACCGGTTTGGCTCAGTGGATAGAGCATCGGCCTGCGGACTCAAGGGTCCCGGGTTCGATTTTGGTCAGAACACATACCTTGGTTCCCGGCCACATCCCGGGTAGGGGGTGTGCAGGAGGCAGCTGATCGATACTTCTCTCTCATCGATGTTTCTAACTCTATCCCTCTCCCTTCCTCTCTTTAAAAAATCAATAAAATGTATTTTTTTTTTAAAAAAAATCCCCCTCTTTGCAGCGTTTCCCAGGCACAGAGAAATGAGAGAACAGCTGCCACAATTCTGGGACACTGTGGAAGAGTTTTTTTGCATGGGGGATTCTGCAGCATCCAGAGGTACAAGAAGATAAAAATGGGTATCCCAACGCAGGTCTTCACAGCATGCTCTCAGCACAAGGAACAATGCAGCAGCAGTTTCTTCGATGGAGAAAACTACCCGTGTAACTACCCGTGTAAGAGGAGTTATCCTTTTTGTTCCCCAATTCATCCATCTTCACAGCTTATAGTTCGGCCAACCCAGTGCTCATTCGGCCTCTAAACGGGCTCAAAGGTTGCTCACGCCTTCTCGTTCAAACTACACACACTGACTTTCTAGGATAGCGTGGTCTCACAATAATCTTATCTAAGCGAGTTACAAGAGCGAGTAACACCCCACTGCCCTCGTCTCTGGTCTCAAAAGTCGTTTGCTTTCCCCAGCCAGTCGGAGGGGGGGGCGGGGGGTGGGGAGTTGGCGTCCTACAGGCCGGGAACGAGATGAGGGGCGAACGGCCCGCTGGCTAGAGCGGTCACCGTGCCGCCGCTCTCGCTGTTCTTCCGCTCTCTATGGTTAGGAGCGCCAGCCTTCCCCCGTCCAACCGGAAATAGTTGGGACCCCTGACGTTTGCGCATGCCCAGGAGGTAGTTCCGGTTCCGGTGTGACGTTAGGCGTTCCGGGCGTTTAGTAGTCGCGGTTGGTGGGCAATAACTGAGCCAACATGTTGCGGAATCTGCTGGTGAGGAGCTCTTCGGCCTGCAGTCGCGATTTGGGGCGGGAGCGTTGGGAGAGGAGGCTAAGGGACCGCGACTGACTCCCAAGTCTGTTCTGAGAGGGAAGGTGGGAGAGGAGGGCGGCTTCTTGGGTCACCTTGGTCCGCGTCCTTTTCTCCTGACGTTGCTTTCCCTTCGCCCCAGTCTCTGCTGGGTGTATGTAGGGAGAGGAGAAGCTGGGAAAGTGAGCACCGGAGTGTTAGTTAGATGAGCCTTGTTGTTGTTCCCTCGCCACCCCTAACTCTGAGGGACTTAGATGAGTTTAGTAGCTCTGATGTGAGTAACCAAGGTCCGGGGGGGGGGGGGGGGGGGGGAGGTTCTGATACCTGAAGCCTCAGACAGAAAGGTGTTCCTCTATTACTGAAAGGGTGTAGGCTTCAGAGGTTCGGAGCTCCCTGAGCATCAGATTTCGGTTAGAAAAGCAAATCGTGCAGTTTCGGGTGGGACATGAGCGGTCGTGGTGGCAGTGCCTAGTCGCTTCCTGCAGACGGTCCCGCAGTGCCCTTCAGCCCTCCCCCGGCTTCGGCATGTGCGATATTGCTCCAGATTTGCGAAAAGGGAAGTGAAACAGTGATCACCTTCTTCGTAACAATAAAAAGGGTTTTACTTAGTTTTGTTATATATTTTTAGAAAGTGGAATTTCTTTCATTATTTAATTCAACTGGATATATAATGCAGGTCTCCTTTTTAAAAGATTTATATCTTATTAAAGATTTTTAAAGAAAAATGTGATGAGAAGCATCTTAGGAACCATGCTAGTTTATATTGAGATCAAGTAATAGAAAACATTTGAGCTTTATTAGTGTATTTTGTAATCATTTTTTGTTTCTGTAATATTTATTATATGAGTATGTTTTCTTCAAGGATTACATAATAATACTGGTTCAACTCAGGTCAAGGTCATGTTTGTTTGCTTGTTTGTTTTTGCTCAGAATTCGCATGAATTGCTTCTTGAATGTGGTCTTTGGAGACGGCAGAATGCAGTATAAAGAGCAGAGGATGGCCAACACATTGGGAAACCTGGATGTTGGTTTATAACTTTGTTACTGACAAATTGGATAGGTTTTAACCCTCACTTTCCCTCTTCTGTAATTGTGCAGATTGTACATGGATGGTTTTGAAGGTTTCTGTAAGCCTTATGTTTAATATGTTTAATATATCTGGATTTTTTAATTTCAGGCTCTTCGTCAGATTTCCCAGAGGACCATAAGTACTGCTTCACGCAGGCAGTTTGAAAATAAAGTTCGAGAGAAACAAAAGCTATTTCAGGTACTGAAATATTTTATAAGAGATTTTTACTTAAAATAATATGATTACCAAAAGGTAAAGATAGGAAGTAAATCGGGAGATGTCTAGTAATTAGTGAATCTGTTGTATTTAGCAAAAGAATAATATAAGAAATTGTCTATTGATAGCTAACTGAGCATTTGCTGTATCTAGGAGGCCCTTGAGGAAGCAGAATAAATTAGGGGGACAGGGACACTTTCTTTGGAGGAATCACATCGTGTAGTTACACAGGAATAGGCAAATAGACGATAGGAAGGGCCCAGAATATATATTTATACATCTATCTATCTATCTGTATATGTGTATAGATAGATAGATGTATGAATTTAATACATGTTATATCAGTGGAAAAAGTGATATCATGGGTATTGAAAAAATTGGCTATTTTAAAGGAAGAAAAGTTACATCCCCTCTATATTGTATATTAAAAGATAATTTGCAGATATAAAAGCCTCTCAAAAAAGTTAGAAGAAAATATAGGAGATATTTTTTTCCCCCCACCACTTTGGTTGAGATATCATTGACAAAAATTCTATATGTTTAGGTTGTACCTGAATTTTTTAAGGTATACAATCTGATGTTTAATGTATCTGATGATTACCACAATCAAGTTAATTAACACATCCATCACCTCATGTAGTTATTTTTTGGTGTGGTTGTGTAGAGCACTAAAGAAATACTATCTTAGCAAATTTCAAGTATACAATACAGTATTACTAACTACTATAATCACCATAGGAGATTATTTTATATAATTGTAGGGGTGGGAAGAAGGCTTTCTAAGGAAGCTTTAAAGGAGAAAATTTGCAAGGTTTGGTGACATAAACATTTTAAATGCATTTAGTTTACAAAAGGCAACTGACAAATTGAGAACAAATTTTAAAAATATAACAAATGTTTCAATGCAAATAAAAATTACAAGTTCATAACACCTCCCTCCCACCCCCCCACCCCCCTCTACAATTATCAAATGTTTAGAAAGCTTTAAAATAGGTTATGTTAGCTAGGTGTGGGAGATAGGTACATTCAGTACTACTACCTAGCATGTATTCAAACACAATACTTTGATACATGCTAGCTAGATAGTAGTATAATTAATACAACGTTTAAGAGAATATTTGAAAGTATTATTAAAAACAAATTACATACCCTGTCATCTAGGACTCCCGCTTTTAAGAATCATTCCTACAGACATAGTAGCATAAATATTTACAAATAGGAAAAAGGCTATTCATTATGGAATTTTAATTTCAAAACACCCCAATAATCTAAATACCTATTAATAGAGGACTGGTTAATTCAGTTATATTTTTGTACAGTGGAATGGTAGTAACTATTAAAAGGAACGAGGTCGGTTTAAATGGACTACAAGAAAATGCTTTTCAAGATATCATAAGCAAAAAATAGTATGTGGCAGATGATTGTATAGCATAACCTCATTTTTTATTTTAAGCACATAGATATATAAATTAGAAGATATGACAATATAAGTATTAAAAAAATTTTTAAGGATATGCACCATACTCTTAATAGGTGTTTTTCATGAGGAGAAACTTAGTGAGATAGAGTAGTTTACCTTTGTAAGTAATCTACTTGATTTTTTGTTTTGTTTTATTGTGATCTTTGGTTTTTTGCAAATAAAATTTTAAGTGATAAAAAGTTGGACCATCTATACTACATAAAAATAGAATAGTTACATTTAACAAATGTATTAAATATTTACTCTATGACAGGTGCTGAACTAGGCATTGAGGCTATAGATTTAGGGTTATAAACCAAAACCCCTTCCCTTTTAGAAATTATTTACTTTTTTTAATAATTCTTTATTGTTGAAAGTATTACACATGTCCCCCTTTTTCCCCTATTGACCCTCTCCAGCCTGCCCCCATCCCTGCTCAGGCCCTCACCACCCCTTTGTCTGTGTCCATGGGCCATGCATATATGCAAACAAGGTCCTTGGTTGATTACCCCCACCCACCAACTGTCCCCCGCCTGCCTTCCCTCTGAGATTCCGCACTCTGTTCCATGCTTCCATGTCTCTGGATCCACTAAGTTCATCAGTGTATTTTGTTGCTTAGATTCCACATATAAGTGAGATCATGTGATGCTTGTCTTTCTCTGACTGACTTATTTCACTTAGCATGACACGCTCCAGGCCCCTCCATGCTGTCTCAAAGGGCAAGAGACTCCTCATTTTTACTGCTGCTTAGTATTCCATGGTATAAATGTACCACAGCTTTTTTTATCCACTCATCTACTGATGGGGACTTGGGCTGTTTCTAGATCTTAGCTATTGTAAATTGTGCTGCTATGAACATAGTGGTGTATACATTCTTTCTGATTGGTGTTTCAGATTTCTTAGGATATATTCCTAGAAGTGGGATCATTGGGTCAAATGGCAGTTCCATATTTTTTTTGAGGAAACTCCATACTGTTTTCCATCATGGTTGCACCAGACTGCATTCCCAATAGCAGTGTTCTAGGGTTCCCTTTTCTCCACATCCTTGCCAGCACTTGTCACTTGTTGATTTGTTGATGGTAGCCATTCTGACAGGTGATATCTCATTGTCATTTTAATTTTCATCTCTGATGATCTCTGACTTTGAGCATTTTTTCATGTCTCTTGGCCATTTGTATGTCCACTTTGGGGAAGTGTCTATTTAGGTCCATTGCCCATTTTTTAATTGGATTGTTTATCTTCCTTTTGTTAAGTTGTATGAGTTCCTTATATATTTTGGACATTAACCCTTTATCAGATGTATCCTTGCCAAATATGTTCTCCCATAGAGTGTGCTTCCTTTTCGTTTTGTTACTGGTTCCTTTTGCTGTGTAGTTTTTTATTTTGATGTAGTCCCATTTGTTTATTTTCTCCTTAGTTTCCTTTGCCCTAGGACAGTGATGGCGAGACACGCAAACTCATTTTTTTGGTTGATTTTTCTTTTTTAAATGGCATTTAAATATATAAAATAAATATCAAAAAATATAAATCTTTGTTTTACTATGGTTGCAAATATCAAAAACCCAGCACCATTTATTGAAGAGACTGTCTTGACTCAATTGTATGCACTTGCCTCCTTTGTCAAATATTAATTGAGCATAATGGCTTGGGTCGATTTCTGGGGACTCTGTTCTGTTCCATTGAAATATATGCCTGTTCTTATGACAGTACCAGGCTGTTTTGATTACGGTGACTTTGTAGTATAATTTGGAATCTGGTATTATGATTCCTCCAGGTTTGTTTTTTTCCCTCAAGATTGCTGCAGCTATTCAGGATCTTTTTTGATTCCATATACATTTTTGGAGTATTTGTTGTAGATCTATGAAATATGCTATTGGTATTTTAATAGGGATTGCATTGAATCTTTAGGTTGCCTTGGGTAGTATGGACATTTAAATGATGTTGATTCTACCAATCCCTGAATACGGTATATTCTTCCACTTGTTTATATCTTCTTCTATCTCTTTTTCAACGTCCTGTAGTTTTCCAAGTACAGGTCTTTTGCCTCCTTGGTTAAGCTTATTTCTAAGTATCTTAATTTTTTTGTTGTAGTGGTAAATGGGATTGTTTGTTTAGTTTCTCTTTCTGAGAATTCCTTATTGGTGGCTAAGAAAGCCATCGATTTTTGGGTGTTAATTTTGTATCCTGCTTTGTTGCCAAATTCATTTATTAAATCTAGTAGTATTTTGTTGGAGTCTTTAGAGTTTTCCATGTACAATATCATGTCATCTGCGAATAATAAGAATTTTACTTCCTCCTTTCCAGTTTGGCTGCTTTTTATTTCTTGTCTGATTGCTGTGGCTAGGATTTCCAGTACTATCCTCCTATATAATAAAAGGCTAATATGCAAATTGTCCCCTTGACCGGGAGTTTGACCAGAGGGCGGGGCCGGCTGGACAATGGCCCATGGCCCCTCCCCTGTGCTGGCCCTGCCCCAATCGCTCCCTCCCTACACATACAACCCCACCACAATCAGAGGTGGGACTGGTGGGCCTACCTCCTGTGTCTCCTCCCCCCAACTGACCAGGCCAGATTGGCTCCCACCCATGCAGAAATTCGTGCACTGGGCTTCTAGTGTTGAATAAGAGTGGTGAAAGCAGGCATCCGTGTATTGTTCCTGTTCTTAGGGGAAGTGCTTTTCGTTTTTCCTGGCCTCATAAAAAGAACTTGCAAGTGTTCCTTCCTCTTGGATTTTTTGTAATAGTTTGAGGAGGATAGGTGATAGTTCGTTGAATGTTTGGTAAAAGTCCCCTGTGAAGCTGCCTGGACCTAGGCTTTTGTTTGCTTACTGCTTCTATTTCATGAGTTGTTATTAGCCTATTCAGATTTTCTGATTCTTCCTCATTCAGCTTTGGGAGATTGTATTTTTCTAGTAATTTGTCCATTTCATCCACATTGTCCCGCTTGTTGGCATATAGTTTTTCATAGTATTTCCTTACAATCCTTCTATTTCTGTGGTGTCATTGGTTACTTCTCTGCTTTCGTTTCTGCTTTTATTTATTTGGGTCCTCTCTCTGTTTCTTTGATGAGTCTGGCTAATGGTTATCAATCTTGTTATCCTTTCAAAGAACAAGCTCTTGGTTTATTGATTTTTCTGTATTGTTTTTTTAGTCTCTGTCATTTATTTCTGCTCTTATCTGTATTATTTCTTTCCTTCTACTTACTCGGGGCTTTTCTTGAGTTATTTAAGTTGTAGGGTTAAGTAGTTTTTTGTTAATTTTTTCTTGTTATTTATTTATTTATTTATTTATTTAATTTGTTTTATTTATTTAGAGGTAGGCCTGTACTGCTATGACTGCTTTTGCTGTTTCCCAGAGATTTTGGGTTGTTGTGTGTTCATTTTCATTTGTTTCCAGGAAGCTTGTGATTTCATTCTTGACCGCATTGGTAACCCATTCATTGTTTAATAACATGCTATTTAGCCTCCATGTGTTTAAATGTTTCTAGGTGTTTTTATTGTAGTT